AGCTTCCAATTTTCCTCGATTCATACTTCGTACATTCCATGTTCCAATTATTAATGGTTGTTTGCATCTGTTTCTACTCATTTTGAGTCATGCCACATCAGCCAATTGAGGTCCTGAAAGTTTTACTCCATCCATATCATTAAGGTCTTCTCTAGTCTGAGGAGTCAGCTCTTCCCTAGTCATATTTTGAGTCCCTTCTGACCTTATGGGCTCATTTTCTGGCAGTATATTGGACAATGTTTCAAGGCTATTCATAAAGTTTTCCAGTAATATATCAGACAGTGTTTCTCTGTTATTCATAAGGTTTCACTGGCCAATTCTTAGAGAAGTGGATGGCCTCTTCCTTCTTCTGAGTCTGTCTTATTCTGGAAGCTCCACTGAACCCTATCCACCATGGGTAATCCTGCTGGCATTTTGCAACACCTGTGGCATAGCCTCCAGCCTCACAGCAACACACAGGCCACCATAGGATTACAACCTGCCAGACCAGTTCATCTCCCTTATCTTCCTAACCACTCTGCTCACTTCCTCACCTGTGGGGCCTGGCCTTAAATAAAGCTGCTCCAGAAGCCCGAGCCATTCAACCACTCACATGACCAGAGGCTCGGACTTACCCATCTAGAGATTTGGAACAGCTAAGAGAGACCAGGACGTAAGCCAGCAGTTTGGAACAGCTAAAGGAAATGAACTTCTCTCTCAGTTTGCCATACTTTTGTGGCTTGCATGTTGCTGTGGGGCTGGAGGCTATGCCACTGGTGTTTCAAATGCCAGCTGGTTTACCCATGGTGTATAGGTTTCAGCGGAGCTTCCAGAATAAAACAGACTTGGAAGAAGGAAGAGGCCATCCAATTCTCAAAGAATTGGCCAGTGAAAACCTTATGAATAGCAGTGAAATACTGTCTGATATATTACTGGACAACTTTATGAATAGCCCTGAAACATTTTCCAACATAGCAATAGAAGATGAGCCTCTCAGGCTGGATGGCACTCAAGATACAATTGCTCTCCTCAGAGTAGAGCTGACCTTAATGTTGTGGATAGAGTAAAGTAAAAAAATTATTATTTTATAATAATTAAAGGATCAATCCACCAAGAGAATATAACCATAATAAATATTTATGCAACCAATGACAGAGTTCCACAATACATAAAACAAATTCTAACAGAAATGAAAACAGAAATAAACCATTCTACAATAATAATAGGAAACTTTAACACATGAATTTCAATACCAGACAGAACAACTAGGAAAAAACTTAACAAAGGTACAGATCTAAGTACCACAATCAACCTACTCAACCTCATAGATATATACAGAACATACCACCCAATAACAGCACAGTTCACATTCTTCTCCAATGCACATGGAGGTTTGGGACCTCCATTTGCTGATGTGGTATGACTCAAAATGAGAAGAGATAGATGTAAACATCCATTAATAATCAGAACATGAAATGTACAAAGTATGAATCTGGGAAACTAGAAGTTGTCAAAAATGAAATGGAACACATAAAGATTCATATCCTAGGCATTAGTGAGCTGAAATGGACTGGTTTTGGCCATTTTGAATCAGATAACCATCTGATCTATTATGTCAGGAACAACAAATTGAAGAAGAATGGTGTGGCATTCATCATCACAAAGAACGTTTCAAGATCTGTCCTAAAGTACAATGCTTTCAGTGATAGAATAATATACATATGCCTACAAGGAAGACCAGTTAATACAACTATATTAAAATTTATGCATCAGCCACCAAAGCCAAAAATGAGGAAGCTGAAGATTTTTACCAACTTCTGGAGTCTGAAATTGACTGAACATGCAATCAAGATGTGTTAATTATCATTAGTGTTTGGAATGCAAATGTTGGAAACAAAGAATTACCAGTAGTCAGAAGATATGGTCTTGGTGATAGAAATAAAGCTGGAAATTGCATGATAGAATTTTGCAAGACCAACAACTTATTCATTACCGATACCTTTTATCAACAACACAATCAGTGGCTATACACATGGACTTTGCCAGACAAAGTACACATGAATCAGATTGACTACATCTGTGGCAAGAGGCAATGAAGAAGCTCAATATCTTCAGTCAAAACAAGGCCAGAAGCTGATTGTGGAACAGACCATCAACTGCTCATATGCAAGTTGAAGTTGAAGTTGAAGACAATTAAAAAACAAGTCCATGAGAGCAAAACTATGACCTTGATTATATCCCTCCTGAATTTAGAGACCATCTAAAAAATAGATTTGATACATTGAACACCAGTGATCGAAAACCAGAAGAATTGTGGGATGATATCAAGAATATCATCCATGAAGAAAGCACAAGGTCATTAAAAATGACAGAAAAGGTAGAAAAGTCCAAAATGAATGGCAGAAGAAACTCTGAAACTTGACCTTTAGTGGAGAGTAGCTAAAGCAAATGGAAGAAATGACAATATAAAAGAGCTGAACAAAAGATTCCAAAGAGGAACTCAAGAAGACAAAAACCAATTATTATAATTAAATGTGCAAAGACCTGGAGTTAGAAAACCAAAAGGGAAAAATATGATTGGCATTTCTCAAGCTGAAAGGACTGAAGAAAAAAAAAAATTAAGCCTCGAGTTGCAATATTGAAAGATTCTATGGGCAAAATATTGAATGATTCAGGAAAACATCAAAAGAAGATGGAAGTAATACAGTCACTGTATCAAAAAGAATCAGTCAATATTCATCCATTTCAGGAGGTGGCATATGATCAAGAACTAATGGTATTAAAGGAAGAAGTCAAAGCTGCACTGAAGGAATTGATGAAGAATAAAGTTCCAGGAATTGACAGAATACTCGCCGAGATGTTTCAACAAACAGACGCTACACTGGAGGCAGTCACTCAGCTGTGCCAAGAAATCAGGAAGACAGCTATTTGGCCAACTGACTAGAAGAGATCCATATTTATACCCATCCCAAAGAAAGGTGATCCCTTTCTTTGGGATTCAAAAGAGGATGTGGAACAAGGTATATCATTGCTGATATCAGATGGATCTTGGCCAAAAAGATGTTTACTTATGTTTCATTGACTATGCAAAAGTATTAGATTGTGTGGCTCATAACAAATTATGGATAACATTGAGAAGAATGGGAATTCCAGAACACTTAATTGTATGCATGAGGACCTGTACATAGACCAGGAGGCTGTCAGTCAAACAGAATAATACTGCATGGTTTAAAATCAGGAAGAGAATGTGTCAGGGTTGTATCCTTTCACCATACTTATTCAATTTGTATGCTGAGCAAATAATCCAAGAAGCTGGATTATATGAAGAAGAACCTGGCATCAGGCTTGGAGGAAGGCTCCTTAGCAACCTATGAGATGCAGATGACACAACTTGGCTTGGTGAAAGTGAGGATGACTTGAAGCATTCACTGATGAAGATTAAAAAGTACAGTCTACAGTATGGATTATACCTCAATATAAAGAAAACAAAAATCCTCACAATTGGACCAATAAGCAGCATCACAATAAGTGCAGAAAAGATTGAAGTTGTCAGACTTCACATTGCTTGGTTCTACAGTCAACACCAGTAGAAGCAGCAGTCAAGACATAAGATGACATATGCATTGGGCAAATCTGCTGCAAAAGACCTCTTTCAAGTGCTGCTGGAGTTTTATAATTGCTGATTTTGTCAAATTTTCTCATGTTTTAGCTATAATACTATGGTAATTAGTATTTAGAAACCTATATCAATAACTTTTTTGAGAATGAGGTAGTAATTAAAGGAAAAGAAGGAGAAAAATAAAAAATGCTTCTGCTCAGTTACTAATAAAGTAATTAATAATGTAATTTAATGTAGAAAGATTTTAGAAAACAATTTCATTGTTAGTACACACATAATCTAAGAAATACTACTTTTAAACAATTTGCAACTATATTTATCACATGTTTTCTTATTAAAATTGATTTTTTTTAAAAAAAAGGTCTCCTTGAAGACTAAGGCATGCCTAACCCAAGCTGTGGTATTTTCATTCGCCTCATATGCATGTGA